TGTGTCTGCACTCAGTCTCTGGTTCTTTGTATCACTAAGAGCCAAGAGCTAAAGTGTGATACATTTGGATGGGAGATGCTGGGGGTCACTGGCTGAAGTATGCCCTCCAAAATTCCTGTGTTGCTGGGAGAGATGACAGATGCCTGTAATCCCCGTACACCAGAAGCTGAGGCAGGAGGATTGTGAGTTTGAGGCCACCTGGGCTGTATGATGAGTTCAGTGCCAACCTGAACTGCATAGCGAGATCCCATCTCAAAACCAAACAAAACAAAGAAACAACAAAACCAAAACTCAAATTTTGAAGGCTTAACCCCCAGTACTGCCTGATGCGCCTTCAGATAGGGCTGTAAAGGGGGGACTAAGTAACATGAGGTCTGCGGGGTGGGCCCCGATCCAGTATGACTGGTGTCCCTATAATAGGTGGAATTGGGGTCCAGACACACAGGGAAGAAGCTACAAAGAGACAGGGAGAAGACAGCCTCCTCCCACCCAAAGGCTGAGTCCTGGGGCACATTGTCCCTGCCAACACTCCTGTGTTGCAGAGTCCTTGGCCACGGTGCCCCCACCGCCACAGCAACACTGACCCTGAGGCTGCCTTGGAGATCCCCTCAAGCTTCCAGTTCCCAGGATGTCCTTCGCCTGTCCCTTCTGGAAGGAGGGGTCTGTCCTGGAGCTCTTTCCTTTAGGGAGTAATAAAGGCAGAGCCCAGTGGCTGACCTGCTGAGACCTCACCCTAAGATGCCCTGCCAGATTGCCCTGAGCCCACCTCCTCTCTTCAGTGAGACAAAGCCCACCTGCTCATTTCAAGAAAGACATGCACGCATGCAGGCACGTAAACATGTCCAGAGCAATCCAGGCATAGCTTGAAAGCTGGCTGGGCAACCTCTGATATCAATGTCTCTGTATGTCTACTTCCTGGGTGTCTTTTACTGAGTCCCTCCTCTGTCCAGGACCCAGCTCCAGAGGATGGAATTGAGACTGACCTCTTGTTTCCCAGTGGTGAGGTTTCACTGTTTGAAGGACTTTGAATTCAGAATTTATTTTACAAAGGAGGGAAAAAACCCATAGAAATAAGACCAGAACAAGCATCCTGAGACAGATGGATGTGCAGCGTAAGCAGGAGGCGTGGGGGTCGCCGTTAACAAGTGCAGTCAGAGGAGTACGTGATGAATTCACCCCACAAAGAGCACGCGCCTGCAAATGCCAGCTCCTGCCTCCTCGCCTTTCATTATTCAGGTGCTGCATGCCTGCAAGAACCAAAGAGAAGAATATTAGTAATTACGGAGTGAATATGGGGGTTCTGTTTTCTTTTACCATAATGCATGAGTGGAGGCTGGGTACTTTATAAAAAGAATAGGTTATTTACATTACAGTGCTGGAGGTGGAGGGCCCAATCAGCAAGGTGCCAGCTCTTGCAAGGGCCCCCTGACTGTGTCCCATCTTGGTGGAGGGCACTGTGGTGGGATGCATGTGACAGGGAGAGGTAGCATCATGGGACAGAAAGCCAGGGTCTGAGGAGGGGCCACCTCGCTCTTTCCCAAGGGTCCTCTCACAGGAGCTCACTAGGGCGCACCCCTTAAGGGCCGTACCCCTCTAGCCCCACCCCAAGTCCGGGTTTCCTGCACTTGCACCTTGGAGGACCATCCCCATCCTACCATGGTGGAACTGACTTATCCATCCTGGCAGCACCTGCAACAGTTCTGCGTCTTCTCTGCTGCTCATGGGAAGGAAATCAGGCCAGGTGTGTAAATGATGCGTCCCAGGCCCACCCCACGCAGTGAACCAAGATCACCCCCAGTGTTTCTCACACCCAGCCCACCCTGGTCCCCCAAGTTCAGGGGCAGCAGAATCAATACAGCATGAGCCGTACTCTGTGCTCACCGCAGGAAAACACTCCCGAGGGAAAGAAGGGGGGCTTGCACAGTGTGGGCTGCTGCATCGCTGGGGACCCCTCGGATCCGGGCTTATGAAGTCCAGCCTGGGGGGAGCCCTTCTGCTGATTTCATGCCCGTGACTTTCCCTGTCATCTTTTTGTCTGTTAGGAAAGGGGCCCAAGGAGCTTGTGAGGAGCAGGCCATACCCTTGTCTTCACATGAGTCCTCTGTCTAGTGGACATGGAGGTCCATTGTGGCAGTCTTTCCTGGGACAGGTCTGGTGGGGCTGGCAGAGTGATTTGCACACAGAGGCATTGAATAAACACAGAGGAAGCAGAGGACACAGGAGCAGGAGCTGAGGATGCAGGCACCTAGAGTGGGTCGTCAGGAGGGAGGCACCTTCCTGTCCCCCGCCGGGGTGTGGGTAGACAAACTCTCACACTCACCTCTGCCCCAGACAGGACAGCAGGGGCTCAGCCCAGAGATCTCTGGAAGGGAGGTGTATCGGCCCCCTTGGAGCCCAAGGAGGCACCTGTCTGGAAGCCCCTGCGGAGCCAGCAGGGAGGAGCCGGGGTGTCCAGTGCCTGCCTTCTGGGGGTCAGGATCACAGCTTGTGCCTGAGAGAGTGCCACTTCCCCAGAGGCCACCTGCACACAACCATGCTTCAGCCATGCCCTAGGGGCCTCTGTGGCAGGGGCCAGAGACACCCAGGAAGTGACCTGGAAAAAAGAGGTGCCTTCTCAGCAGTGGCGTCCACCATAGCCAAGCAGAAATTGGGGGTCATATATCTGGCAACAGATATTTGTTAGGGGGAGCCAGAGCTGGGTAAGGTGCAGGTAATCCATAAAAGCAGATAAATCTGTTTCCCGCCATGGAACCCCTGGGGACAGGCCTGGGTTGTAGCAGACGGGGCCTTCGGGCCAAGGGATAGAGGATGCCAGGCTTAACTACAGGATGCAGCCTGCAGACCCTGAGCACCCACAGTGCCCACAGCCTGACCTCCCTGGCCCCGCCCTTCCCGCACAGAAGGCTGGCTGCGCCCCAGGCATCCTACCCCACCTGACCCACGTCACCTACTGAGGCCCAAAAACGAGGCCTCACAGCTGGCTCACTTCTGCTCTCCGCCCCAGGTCTAACGCACTCAGATTCCCCTTCTTTGTCCGCCCCTTCCCCGACTCACAATGATTCCACTTGGGATTTTTTGACTTTACCGGGATGTAAACGGGATGCACAGTCTATATGCTTTAGGTTTCAGATTTGGCTCCTTCTGGGCTAACAATACATAGTCCCCGTAAGTGGGAGGCCGGCGGAGATCCCCACCACCCACCCCCACCCTCACTCCAACCCCCACCCCCACCCCCGTGCACTGTGCTGTTTTCTGGTCCTGATTTCTGTTAGGTGGGGTGCATTGCCTGTACTGTTTTTAGCTTAGATGGGTTTCAGGACACGGTCCCATCATAAGTCCAGGAGCGTCTGTGATCTGCACTCTTATTTATATGTCATCATATTCCCAATATACTAAACGACGGAAGTTTAAGTGTATTCATATGTGTGCTCCGCCACACAAGGACGCCAACATCGGAGTACTGAGCTCATCCCTTAGCCAGCGGCCCAGTCCCAGAACCCGGCCTGGCCCAGGCTCCCTCTAGTGACCGCCTCCCGTCACTACACCTGATGTTAGAAATAAAAATGGGAGCCCTCACCGCGGGAGCCCGCGGGAAGCTGCTCTTAGCAGAAGCAGTGCGTTCTTTCCAGAGGGACCCCAGGACTCGCGAGAGTCAGGCTCGGAGCCAGTTTAGCGTGGCCACTCAGTACCCTGGCAACTCAGGTGCAGTCTGACTCGGGTGGTGGACACAGGCAGAGCTGGAAGCACCCAGGCAGAAGCGTTTGACTTCCAGCAGACTCCAACCCAGGTTAACCCTGTGACCTTGGCCTCTGCATATCCATCTGTAAAATGGGGGTAACAGCAGTCCCCTCCACCAGGATAGTGCAGTGATTAAATGAGAGTACCGTCATATCTCCAGCTCAGTCCCTGACATAGCAGTGGTCAGTTACACCAGGGAAGGTGTAACTGTTCCCTGTTTCTTCACTCAGGTCCTATTCCAGAGAGGCATTTATCACAGAGCAAACAGACACCGGGATGAACCCTGGAGATGAAGGCATAACCACCCTTTATGTCTGGGGAGGGTCTCACAGGGTCTGAGGTGTCTGACTCTGGCTCTTGGGCTGGAGCATGGTGGGCCCTTTTTATGACCATGCCCGCAGTGCCCTTTGAGTAACCCCTCACTACCACCCTGCAGACTGGGCAGCAGGGTGGCCTTTTTAAAAAAAATGATAGGAGCGACCCTGGAGACGGACGTGGGTTGTGATGGGCTGGATGTGCAGCTGGGGAGTTAGAATCATTCTCTTTGGGGGAGACTGTTCCTGCACTCAAAGGTCACATCTGCTGAGTCAGATTGTGTATGTAGGAGTCTGCACTCATCAATAAAAGAGGTGTGCAAGGATTTACCTGTATCATTTAGATGAGCCCGTATGCTTTTCACATTTCCTGACTCCAGCTCTAGGGGAAAAGTTGAAGCATTCATACTTGTAATAGAACGTTGTATTTATGAAGATATTGCACAACTAAATGGGATTGGTGGACTTTTATAGATGGGGATGTAAAGCTACACGTGTAAAGGAGCCCCACCCCGCTCCTTCCCTGAAACAGACACCAGATAGACAAGAAAAGATATCAAAATAGTAATAGCGATCATATGGGGATTATGATCTTCATTTTTTTCTTAATTGTCTTTTACACTTGTTTACGGTTCTATGCCCATCGTTTATTGTTTTTTAAATTATAAAGAGAAGAAGAAAGGCATTTACAGCCCACACTGTCCTGGAGGGGCCTGGTGAGCGAGTGTGGGCTGTGGTCCCAATTACCAGCCAGCTGTGGATCAGTTCCTTAAACTTTCGTGTGTGGAGTGTGTTGAAATACTCACCTACCACTTACACAGAAACAAAAGCAAAGCCTTGCATAGCTGGCCTGCTTCAGTTTTGTGTGGATACACTGGCCAGGCCAGTCCCCCTGGGGCTCTGCTTTCTACTGTGGCCCTAGGTAATTCTCTCTGTCCTCCCTTGCAGCTGCCCATGATGGGAGGAGCATTCATGGACTCGCCCAATGAGGACTTCAGCACTGAGTACTCCCTGTTTAACTCCTCCGCCAACGTCCACGCGGCCTCCAACGGTCAGGGCCTGCCCGAGGAGCCTCCTCGGTCCTCCAATGACGCTGTCTTGCTGTGGATTGCCATCATAGCGACACTGGGGAACATCGTGGTGGTTGGGGTGGTCTATGCCTTCACCTTCTGAGGGGACAAGGTCCCCATCTCTTCCAGGACGGCCTCTCTGTGCTGGGCAGAGGCCTCCCTCAGGGCCCTGTCTTGCTGTTGGCCTTTGGCTGCACCTGGGTTCTAGAACCAAGAGTTCTGACCACTTGGGTCGCCTGTCCATGGCAGTAGCCATGCATCTGGAATTTCCCTGCCAGTCCTGATGTCAAATATTCCATGCCACGGTTGATGGGACTCTGGAAACGTGAAAGCCTGAACGCTCAGCTCTGAGCGGCATGGCAGGACAAGGCCTCCAGAGAACTGGCTAGAAAGGCCTTGAAATGTTGGCCCCAGAACATGAGACCAGGAGGAGCAGCCTGGTGGGGTTAAAATGTAGATGTAGTTTGGTGATCGTTTGCTAGCAGTAAAAATCACTTGTGTGTCTCGGTTCTAGGCAAACTCTTTCAAGTGGTGTGCGGGGAAGGGCAGGAGCAGGCCTGGGAACTTTGGGGTCCCCCACTCAACATTGGTTTCATGTCCAACCCTTCCAGATATTAATTGTGACCTTCTAGGGCTGCAGACAGTTCCTAGTATGACTTAGAAATGACACTTTGTCACCTGGCTCCCTATGGGACCCAAGCACATCAGGAAACAGGGGTGGGGTTACCAGCAGTGAGGTTTATGGGTGAGTGTTAGTGGCTTTCTACCTGTGGATGGACGTGCTGATCTTTTTAAAGAGGGGAGAAGATACCTTTGAAAGTGAGACCTGCTAGGCTCCGAGTCTTCAGCTGCCCTTTCTTCTCTGAGGAATTGCCGGAGTCTTCACACCCAACTATTGCATGGATGGGATGGGATTTGCCTGTGGTCCCAGGGCTGGTGCATGAAAACACCCTGGCTCAGCTGTCGTTGTTGGGTCCCCACCTTGGCATCTGTGCAGCAGCAGCATGCATGTCCAGGGGCTCTCCAGGTAACAAGACGGGCAGAGCACTCAGCGCCTGGGTTTCTAACATGGTTCTGACAGGTGTGCCCTCTCCTGCAGCTCTGAAGGCGCTTCTGGCCCCCCCCCCCAGTTTCCTTAAATTCTTAAAAAGTGGTGGCTGGGGGTCCCGGCAAACAGGGAAGCTCTGCACTCAGACTGGAGCAGGGCGGCACTTGTGGGGTTAGAACAGGCTGGTTTTCTTCTCCAGGAGAATCTTGGCCTGGGTCCCTGTGGTCTCAGGGAACATGAGTGCTCTCAGTGACAGCAAAGGGTGCCTCTCATATCCAGAGGCAGACACTGGGCTGTAGAAGTCTCAAGCTAATAAGATTACCTGCCTGGCTTCTAGACAGTGCCATGGACGGCTGCCAACTCTCATTGCTCAAACCTGTCTTCAGCCACACACCCATCTGCAAATGCACGGGCCACAGCCCAGGCTGTGTGTGCACAGCCAGTCCACCTGGGCGGCCAGAGAGAAGGAAATCGTGCTGGGGGAGGCTGGCCTGGCCTGGGCATTTCCCTGGCTTGAGGCTGTCTGTGCTGGATGCCTTTGTAGAGCCCTGCACATCCCACTGGGACTCCCCTGAGCTTAGACTTTCTTAGGGCTCAGCCCGAGGGAAGCCAGGGGGCTGGGGGAGGCCTGTTCTCATCGGGGTCACTCCAGCACAGTGCCCTCTGGGCGCTCGCCCCAAGGGAGCCTGCAGCCCCGCCAAGCAGTAGGTGGCAGAGTTCAGTCTATCTCTCCCTCCTGTGCTTTCCTGGTCTGCTTTTTTTTCCACCATCATAGATCTCTGTACCCTCCTGCCACCCCCGCTGGGCTTTGTCGTGGCTCTAGGGCAAGAGAGAAACAGAGACCTGACTGAGCCTCAGTGTCACCTTCAGGCACTGGGCTAGATTCACAGACTCATCCTCCATCCCATTGTTGTCCCGGTACTGCCACCAGGCTCAGAAGGGGAAGTCAATTTCCTAAAGCCGCCCAGCAGAAAGCAGGCAGCTGGGACTGGAACCCAGGCTCTGAAGCCTCTGACACTGTCCTGCCTTTTGTGGCCATTTGGCTCCACTGGGGCCTAATTTCCAGATGCTGTTTCCTGAGGGGCCACTTCATGGGCTGGGCTGGGCCAGCTCTGGCTCCCACGAGCTCCTGAGGTTCTCAGAACTGGGCATGCTGGGCCCCCTGCTGCTTCCCTTCTGCCTAGGTTGTGCCACCATGTAAGACTGGCCACACAGGCCTCTCTCGGGCTGTGGTGAAGTTCCAAGTGGCTGGTTTTTTGGGACATGTGCAGAAGGGACCCTGGTGGAGACTGCAGAGACCTGCAAACTGCACGCATGGAAGAGGGGCTTCACAGGCAGGACTTCCGGTCAGAGCCCTGGGACCCACACAGCACAGGCCCTTCCCTGAGCCCCAGGCTCTCTGGAGCAGGGAACATGCATCCTCTTCAGGCCCCAGCCAGGGCCCTGTTTTGCCTTTTCTGTGCGTGGGGTGAACCCCTTGGATTTGAGGGACAGTAGGAAAGAAGGATGGATGGAAGGAAGGAAGGAAGGAAGGAATGGATTTTACCTCTCCAGGAGCCGGTTCTTGGAGAAAGGTGTCCATTTGCTAGAAGGCTGAAAAGAAATGAGACCCCAGACACACACACACACACACACACACACACACACACACACACCCTCCAGAGAGAGGCTCAGATCTCCACACAGAAGTCCCAAGACCCAGAGAGGAAGTCCCAGGGCAAGGAGCACAGGCTAGCACCAAGCTTCCAGCCCTGTGTTCAGTGGTGGGCTGGGACAGTTGCCAAACCACCTCAGCATTTGTCAGGATGTGTCCCCAGGGCCAAAGAGACTGGGTCACATGTACATATCATCAGCGTGGCCACCTGATGCCTTCCAGGCAAAGAGTCCCCTCCTTCTGCAGGGGCAGGGCTCCTCTCAGGATGAGCAGGGCCCTCAGTAACTACTGTTCCCCATGGGCTGTTTTGCATATCTTGTTGAGCAAATCTTATGTGTTTCCTGAATCTCCCCTTGCCCTGGGGCAGATGTGTGGGTGCAGGGGGGGCACATTAATTCTCCCATTTTTCTGTCAAGGAAACTAAGCCCAGACCCTCTGCCTGAGACACCACAAGAATGGAGCCAGGACCGAGCCACAAGTTGGTGGGCACTGCCCTGCAGCTCCCTCTGCCCACAGCCTCCGAGATGAGTCCCCTGGGATGGGGTTTCACAGGCCAGAGCCCAGGTTTGGTCTTGGAGAGCCCACACCAAGTGTAAGTGTGGGAGGAGCAGGCCCAGTACTGAGGCTCAATCCTCACAGCAGTGTGGGTTTAGGGAGCACCTGACTGGAACCTTTAACGTTTAGAAAGAGAAACTGAGGCCACCCAGAAAAGCCATGGCAAGCCAGCCTTGAGATGAGACCGTGTTCCTCTGCTGGCTGTCACTAGGCTCCCTTGGCTGCATCCTGCAGATGGCCATTGGTCGTCCCCAAGCAAGTCCCGGGGGTGGGCTGCATTGCACGATGGAGAGCCCTAGGTGTCTATGCTCAGGGGCCCAGGAGACCAGCAGGAGGCTGAATCTTCCCCATTCACCTGTGCCAACCTCTCCCATCCCAAGGTGTTCCCCAGGGAGAGGTTGAGGACAGGCAGGTGGACTGTGCACTGTGAAGCCAGAGACAGGGAGCCCAGGCTGTCCAAGTAGGGTGGGGGCTCTCTTAGAAACCCTGAGAAGCAGAATTACAACAGCTCCGACTATTCTGGGGTTAGAGTTTAAGCAGCACTTCCTGTCTTTGGAGGAAGGGGATAAATTCACACCAAGGACCGTAGCAACTGAGGGAGGGGCAGGATGGCCCTGGGGCAAGGAAAGCCACCATCAGAAGTGCCAGAGGACAGCCCGGAGGACACTGAGCCTGCAGCTCCTGGGAACACAAGTCTGTGAGCTTTGTTCAGAGTCCCAGAAATGTTTTTTCAAGACAGAAAGTAAAAACAGCAGAGGACTCGGGCTCAGGTGCTCAGAGCAGATCCTGTTGGCCCCTGATTTCATCCTGATACCATGCTGGTGGTCTGGAGCCTGCCCAGACCTCTGCATCCCAGCACGGGTGAGGCATGTCGTCCTTCTCCAGGGTGACTCCTGCTGCCCAAGACGAGGTTTGAGACCTGTTTTGCCATGGGAATAAATCCTGACAAATGCACATGTGTGCAGGGGATGGTGCGCTCCAGCAGTGGGGTAATGAGGCCACTCCGTGTGGCCAAGTAGTCTCTGGGTCCCCTGTGCCTGTCCCCCCCCCCCCCAGCACCCTGTCTGCCACTATCTTAGTGAGCCAGAGAATTGGCATTTTGAGTTCAGAGCATTCTGGAAATGGCAGTCTTTGTGGGGCTGACACTTTCTGGAAGCTGGCAGGCGGGACTTCAACCACTGACCTTGAGGAAACTGAGCCTGGTCGCGCTCCCCTGAGCTGGGGAGCAGAGCATCAGGAGCAGGAGCCCAGGGCTTCTAACTACAAGGGCTCTGATTTCAACCAGCCTGCAGTATTCAGCTGCCAGCACTTGTCTGTCAGGAGACATTTGTTGTTGTCTGGAGAGCATTTTGACTGCCACAACGTGGAGGGGCTGTAGTGACATCTGGTGGTTGGAGGCCAGGGTTGCTGCTTAGCATCCTACAACACATAGGTCAGTCTCCATAGCAGAGAATGGTCCAACCCCAAAAGGCTGGTCGTGCCAAAGTCAGGAAACCTGATGCTAAATGGTGTGGTCTCTGATTTCAAAATGCTGGGTTTCCCCGAAGCTTCACTCCTCCCCATCTATGAGTCACTGAGTAAATCAGAACCCTTCTGGGCAGCAGCAGGGACCGTGGTTGCTGGCCTAGGGTCACATAACTGCAGTGAGGAGCTAGGATCTGGAATTCCTCATGAGTTGGATTGGACTTTGGAAATGCACGTGACTCTGAGTCCATGCACTGGGGCTTTCCAGAGGACCCCAGCCAGAACGGAGAAACCTCCACAAAGTGGACAGGATGCTGAGGCTGGACTTGCCCCGTAGCGAGGTGTCTCTGGGGGACCTGCAGGGACTGGTCCCCAGGAGCACCTCGAGGAGCACTGTTGTAGGGGAGCCTGGCGCACAGGCTCAGGAGAGGACAACAGGCGCTGGACGAATCTGCATCTTTGTCCCTCACCCTTCCCCGCCTGCCCCACCCTAGTCTCGGGCTGGAAGCGTACCAAGTCTCCTTTCTATTATGTCAACTTTTACAGAATCCTTATTCTTGTAACTTGCCAACTGCATACACCACCTCTCCGTGCTGAGAGAATCGAATTGTTTCCATGTCTTACTAATGTTTTCAGAACCAACTTGGGAAAGTACACGGTTTCCTTGATATAAAAGTATTTTAACTATTCTTGTAGCCTTTGCCACCACAGCACCTGGTCTGACCACTTGACCCGCTTTCTTTTACTACAGTGAAAAGGCTCGCTCTCAATGTGGGCTTCTGTGTGCTCTTTAGACTGAGAATCTGTAACCGCCAGGGTGTAAAAATGTAGCAGTGAAATCTCTCTCTGTTAACACTGTTGCTGTGGTTGTCATTTTCTATTATGATGATTAAAAAAAAAGAACAAAGCAAAGCTTTCACTCCTCTCTATCTGTATCACACTTTTCCCAATATAAAGGTGCTGTCCCTTCCTCTGCTCCAGGTGACCTCTGTGCTGGCCATCCTGCTCCTTCGAGGCAGGATAGGGCCCCCTCTTTGTCCATTCCCCTCGCAAGGCCACTCCATGGTGACCCCTGCAGGAAGCTGCCTCTTTCCCCGCCCCCAGCACCTTGATACAGTGCCTGATTCATAGCAGCCCTCCAGCAGGTAATCAGAGAACAGATGAATGATCCCAGCCCAGCAGGGAAAGGACAAGTTCGCAACTGTAGTTCTGCCCCTTCAGCCACTAATCACAGCAAACAGGGACTCACTGGACGTTTGGTGCCATTTGGAGCCTGTGTGTGCACAGCAGTTATTACTGCGTGGCTACTGTTATTATCCACACTTGATGAATGAAGAAACTGAGGCACGCAGAAGTGTCTGGTCAAGGCCAGGTGACTGGTGAGCAGGTCTGAAGACCTGGGCTCTGGTCTCCCGCGGGCTGGCGTCTTCCTCTCTGCTCTTGGATCCTGCAGCCGAACGAAGAGAGGCCACGGCCTGGTCCTCCCAGCTGACCTCTGCTCCCGGTGGGGAGGTGACCGAGAGGCAGCTGGATAAGGCAGAGATCCTGCTCCCTGTGCTCCCGGCAGCAGGGAGACTGCAGACTTCACACAAAATATGCAGAAATGGGTGATAGCAGAGTAACGCAGGCTGGAGACTGGGTGGCCAGGCCTGAGCCTGGAGGACATGGTGGTTAAGGGACAAAGCCGAGCAGACGGGGCCTTGAATGCCTTGGTGGGCAATGGGCCACCGCCAGCTGTCCTCAAGGCAGGGCTGGGGCAGAGGGCACAGGAGTGACTTCCATGCTGCTTAAGGGGACCCCAGCCTAGCCCCCACTGGATGGTGCCCCTCCCTGTCACACGCCCAGGCGAGCACACTGCTGGTGCCTGCACTCCAGACGGAGGCGTAGGGTTTCGTAATTATGGAAAAGACCAGACAAGAGCTCTCAAGAAGAGGAGGCATCTGCGGCCCCACTCCACTAAATTTGTCTCTTTAGAGGCTATGGACTGTGCAGCCCACACCAAAAAATGTCTTCTCCTTCCCACCCACCGCCTCATTAGCACTCTCAGGAAATTTTTGACTCTGCAGATTTTGTTTGTAGACACAGCCATGAGCACCCGTGTCCCGCCATCCTGATCTTCGCTTACACTGTGAGCTAGTTGGGTGGCCCCTCTCTGGGGAATACGCAAGGCACCCGTGCAAGGCAGAGGCCCCACAGTGCCCGGGCCAGGGCGGCACAGTGTTGGACTTCCTCATTGGTGAGCAAGTACAGAAACGGAACGGCTGGGAGGAAAACACAGTCTCCCTTGGCGACTCCATCAGCAGCCAGAGCTGCCTGCTCCTCCAGGGAGGGAGGAGGGAGGAGGGAGGAGGGAGGAGGGAGAAGAGGGGCGGGACGGGGTTCCCTCGCAATTCTGGCCAGGCTCCCCTGTTTTCATGGCTGCCCACTGCCCACTCCAACACCTGCATTCCTGGGACTTCTCCACTGGGCCTCTACTTGGTCTGCAGCACGCAGTGGCCAGGCTGCTGGGGTCAGTTCTGCAATCAGCGGAAGGCCATTAACTTCCACAGCAACGCTACTCCCAGGCCTCCCTCCGTGCTCCAGGCAGGCATAATAACACCCACACCTGGCGCCCCCAGGCTGGGGCGAGGGAACATGAGGTGTGGCAGGGAGAATGGGGGCGGACAGAGGAGCACCCCCTAACAGGCTGAGGATACAGAGCACACGGAGGAGCGTGCCAGGGAAACACAGTGAGCAGGGGCCGGGGGCTGGGCATGCCAAGTTGGAGAGAGTCATCAAAGGGCGGCTTGGTGGCAGGGGTTCAGGTAGGGCGACAGTTCAGAGAGGAAGCATGATGTGTCCCACTGCAAAGCATATGGTGAAGGAGAGGATTCTGTATGTGCTTCTTCCTCGATCACCTGGGGAATTCGTACTCCTTGTAAACTTACTGGGCCTCTGCTCAGAGCTGCACAGACAGAAATTCAGCCTGGTCCCTGTCCCCAAGACACTGGCAGCGTGTCTCCAAGTCCCATTGAAGGGTATATCGTGATGGTGGTTGGACTTTCAGGACCCACTTCCCCTGAGATTAACCCTCGGGAGGCACCAAGTTGCTAGCCACGGTCTCTACGTGGTGACATGGGCTGGGAAAGCTACCCCTGGCCATGCCCAGTGCACTCTCCACCTCTCTGTGCCCTGCTTCCAAATGGCTTCTGTAGGTTTGGTGAGTTGGGATTCACTGCTGGTTTGGGGGCACATGTGGGTGGGTCTTAGACTTCTGAGCCCCATCGTTACTCCTTTTAGGATAGAACCCCTCTTCTTCTTAGAGGACCGTATCCCTCAGTCTGTGAGGGATCTGCCCAGCCTCAATGGCCTGAGTGTCCCGTGATGTATACAGTGTAATCATGGTTGTAGCTTGGTCAGCTGAGATGTTCCAGTCTCCCTGCCCTGGGTCGGGGATGACCACACAGCCTGGTGGGTACAGGCCAGGTGTCTACTCTGATCTGTTGCGGGGAACACCAGCAAGTGGTGTTTGTGTGGGAAACTCTGCAGCACTGAGAATCATGAAGATGGGACCCTTTGGTGGTGGTGCCACGCTGCCACTTAGAAAGGAGCCATCTAAGAATGAAGAAGCCACAGAGGAAGCAGCATCCAGAGACCAAAAGAAAACCAAGCCACATCTAAAGGCCTACCTGAGGAGTCTCTGTGCGGACAAATTGATCCCTGTGTATTTAAATCAGTTTGAGTTTGGTTTTGCTTCTTCTGATGGGAAGTCTTGACTGATGTTCCCTCAGTGAGCTCTGACCTTTAACCTGCTCGGGAAGTGGCCTGTTTCAAGCTGCAGGCTCCATCCTGTTCAATGCCAGCGCCCACCCTGGGCACCCTGGGCTCTCTTGCCCTGCTGCCACCTGGCTGTTTTGCTGGTGCCCGCTGGTTCACCAGCCCACTGGCAGCCTGCACCTGGAGTGTGGCAACAGGTCCAGCTTCTCCAGTTTGACCCTGTGTGCCTTGCTTTATCCTTGTCTGCTGGCCCTGCCAGCCTGAGGTACTGCCAACTGAGTCCCAACACCTGGGTCCAGCCGTTGTACCAGCCTGGCCCTGCTCCTTAAAACATCAGACTGTACAGACAAACGCTCTGCTTAGTTTTGTTCTATGCCAGTGGGACAGAGGTAGGAGAATGGGCGGCCCCAGCATAGCCTGTGTAAGTACTGTCACTTTTAGGTGCCAAACAACCATTTTATGCACAGAACTTTACAGTTTATACAAGGTATTTCATGCAATGGACCAAATGTGTCCCCCAAATGCTACACTGGGATCTCAACCCCCAGTGTGATGGCATCAGAGGCAGAGCCTCGGGGAGGTGAGTAGGTTACAAGGGTGGAACCTCCAGGAATGAGATTAGTGCCCTCATCAAAGGGCCCCAGAGATCTTCCTCCCTCTTTTTCTATGTGAGGATATAGGAAGACAGCCTGGAAGATGCTGCTCCGTGATCTTGGATGTCCAGCCTCCAGAGCTGTAGGAAATAAATTGTTACTGTTTATCACCCCTCAGTCTCTGGCACCTGGTTGTAGCAGTTGAGGTGACAAAAACATTTCCCACGTATTTTCTCATCTGATCCTGTAGTGAGCCCAGCTGTGCTCCTCTCATATTGCTTGGAAGGATACATTGGTCAGCTTCACATCACTGTAATGAAATACCTGAGCATTTACCTTATACAGAGAAAAGCTTTACTCTGCCGGAGGTTCTAGAGATTCCAGGCCCAGACTGGAGAAGCCCTCAGCTTTGGCCTCTGGTCAGGGCAGCTCATTATGGCCGGAGCGCAGGCAGGGCACACAGCTTACAGCCAGGAAGGAGAAAGAGAAAAGGCCGGCCTCGGCCTCCATGGGTGCCCTTGGGGGTGCACCCTCAGTGACCCAGGGACCTCCTGCCAGGCCTCACCTCTCAAAATGCCCAGCTGACCAAGCCTTTACCATATGAACTTTGGGGGAACACATCTGAACCACAGCAAGGGATGTAGGCCTTTGGGGGTGCCTTGCCCCAGCTGCACTGTGCTTTTGCCACCATGCATGCTGGCCTGGACGCAGGATCCACAGAGCCCTGCTCAACCTAAGGTGACCTCAACCCCCACAGGCTGGTGCCCAGGTTGCCAGCCCATCCTTTACCTCAATGGGGCATTGCTGCGGGGGGAACCCTGGGGCTCATGGCAGGTCCCGCTGAGCTGCTCCCTGCTCTGCTCCTTCCCCTTCCAGCCCTGCCCTCGGTCTCCCCAAAAGCGCTTCCTTCATAAATCACTCTCACGGAACCCTTGTCCTCTGTGTGCTTCAGGCAACGCCTCTAAGGTGATCCCACAGCTGCCCGGGACCTGGATATGGTCATCCCCACCCAAGAGTCGGAGAAGCTGAGGCTCAGAGAGGTTCAGTGACAGCCAGTGAACAATGGGATGGGCTCAAACTCAGCTCTGGTGGACTCCACGACCCAAGCCATGTCACCCACTACTGACACAGTCAGTCCTCAAGCTGGACCTCAAGAGCAGAGCCTGGGACTGGGCGGACGTCCCTGAGACCCATAGTGAGGGGAACAGTGGCAGCCTCAGCCCGCATGTCGTCCTGCCTTCTCCTTGACCTCTGAAAGCCGATGGTGCGCGCCCTAGCATGCTGTGGTCACCTGTTCATCCCGGGAAGACACTCATGAGCAGGAAGTCGCAGCCTGCATGTTCAGCCTGGGACACTGCTGTGACAGTCGATGTCAGAGGGCTGCTTGTTAGAAGGCTGCTCACAGAGGGTCTCTCACAGCCACTTGCAGTCATGTGCTTCAGGAAAACAGACCCAGTGTGGAGAAATCCAGGGAGCTGGGCCCAGCAGGGGGCGCTGTGGCATTAGGAACCAGCAGAGACCCTCTGCAGGCCGAGGGCGAGGAGTCTGGGGGGAGAGGACAGTGTAGGCATGTTGATGGATATGAGAATAGGAGAGTGAAAAGGCAGTGAGACCCGTGACAGGGCAGTGTGGGCAGGTGACAGTGGCATCCCAGGTAAGTCCGTGGGCAGCATCAGTGCTGATGAATCCTCGCTGGCTGCCTGAAGCTGTGTCCGGCTCCCCCACACCTAGATTGAGGGAGCATGGAGCCATGCAGACCTGGAGTTGCCTTCAGAGGGGCATTTGTCAAAGACCACAACTCCCTGTCCCCCTTCCTGCTTTTTCTCCTTTGATTGGAAGAGAGTATGTCTGTCCCACTGTTGATGTTCCAGTTGTGATGTTGAAAGCCCATGCAAACTCCTACTGTGCCCAAGAAACCCTGGGCCATTACATGCATTCCCCTAAATTGCCCCCAGACTGTATGTACCATAAATTATCAGTCCTGAGCTGCAGGAAAACAGATCCAGTGTGGAAAAACCCAGGAAGCTGGGCCCGGCAGGGGGCGCTGTGGCATTAGGAGCCAGCAGAGACCCGTATGGATCACTGGGCCCTCGGCTATCAGACCCATGGCTGCCACTGACCACTTAAGAACTGTGGCGAGGCCCAGAGCCTTGCCCAGCTGCTGCCACATGGGACCACAGGAAAGCTCGCAGAGAGGAAGTTAACAAAGTCCTAAATAAACGTCCAGGCCTTCAGACTGGGGCCAGCTGCTGGACCCCCTGCCAATTCTGTCCTCCAACCTCGTCAGCTCTGGGCAGGGCTGTGTTTTGTTTTAATGAAGTTTTTTTTAAATTGAAATGTGACATAGAGACAAAAAAATGCCCGTGTCCTATGAGCACCATACAGTGAATTTTCCCAGACTCGTGGTGGCCTTGAACCAGGAATGTGGCTGACGACAGAGCATCCCCTAGAGGCCCTGAGCCCTGCCATGCTGCATGAGATTGTGAGACATGTTATGATTGGCTGCCAATAGGCAGCAGCCAAAACTCCTAATTTCTGGTTTTTCTTGAAAAAATGGAAGGATCCACATGGTGGCACCTGGCTGTGCCGTGGAGAGGAGCTGGGCCTGGCAACAGCTGCCGTCCTCAGTGACATGTCCCCACCGTCACCCCAGGTCCCGGGCCTTCACAGGTCAGGCTCTGCACTGGGCCCCACTTTCAAAGGCTCTTTCCTGTCCTATAAGACAGAAGGCTCTGGGGACGCTGGATGCGACCGTCCAGCTCGGTCATTCTCCTCCAGCCCAGAGCCTCGTGCCCTCCCCTGGGCCTGGGTGGGTTTGCATTTATGGAGCTCACTGCCACAAGTGCCCACACACGTAGATTCCATAGCAGGGGCAGGGGGAGGACAGCTGTCATGAGATGAAGAGAAGGGACATTGTGGGTGGGAAGAACATGGGGGAAGACCCGTGACAAACACACACACGTGTGTGCATGCGTACACACACATGCAGTCACACACACACACACACACACACACACACACACACACACAGGTTCTTATGCAGTGTGCCTCCCCTCGCCCGGGGCCTGGAAAGTCAAGGGCCAGGTGGGCAGCCCTATCTGGCTGGTTCTCAGCCCCACACTGCTCCCTCCTGGGCCTAGCGTTTTTCAGTCTCCAGATAGAAAATGTCTCCAAAACTAATTGAATCTGTACTAAACAGATGGGGACTTTCCCTGTCATTATCCTCTAAACAATGCGGTCTAACAGCTGTTCACATATCATCTGCACTGTGTAGGGTATAGGAGGTGTGGCCTACAGATGGGTTAAAGTGTACAGGAGGCTGTGTGTGTGTGTGAGAGAGAGAGAGAGACAGCGAGAGACAGAGAGAGACAGAGTGACAGAGAGAGACAGGAAGACATCGATCTTTAAGGAATTGGTGCATGCAGCTGGCATACCTGGCAAATCGCAGGGTGGCTAGAGGCTGCCAGGCTAAAAATTTTTCTCTGAGTCAATGTTGCTGTCACACCCGACCCAGGCCAGACTCCATCAGCAAACAAGCTGCTTTCAGCAAACAACAGGAACCCAGCCATGGGCCACGCTGTTGTGGTACCCAGAGCAGAAGGCCTGATATGACTCTGCCTCTCCTCTGACCTGGGGCTGATATCTTCCATGATCTCACCCTGTTCCCACAAGGACAAATAAAACTGGCCTTATTACTTAGCACAAAAGCCTGCTGGATGATCATTAACACAGTCGGGCCATCTTCCTTCCAAATTCCCTTCATAGCAGGTTGGAAACTCAGGCGAGACTTCCCTGTAGCACCCCTGAGGATCCCTCCCTCTCTCGGCCCAAGGCTACCTCCATCTCTGTTGTCTCCACCTTGCTGGGGAGGCCCACCTACCTTAGGGAGACTAACTGTCCTAACAGTCTACTGATCTAAGTGTGGGTCCCGTCTGTAAACACCTTCCCAGCAAGTATCTCACCCAACAAACTGTGCCCGGCCGAGCTGGCACCAGAGGAACCAACACAGGGCCCTAGAGGCCACGTCAGATGTAGCTCTCTTTCTGGGTCCTTGGGATGCGTGTGTCCTGGTAAGAGGATGAGACGTATTTTGTCCACAGTTCACAAGTTTGCAGCTCATACCTTTCAGGTGCCAGGTGACCACTTGGACAGCTGACCCCGGGCAGTGGGAGTTAAGGGCCATTGACTGCCATGCCAGCTGGCTCTCTAGCAGTGAGTCCTTCTGTCTTTATTCTTCTGCTGGGAAGGGAGTAGGTTTGCACTCTGGGTTTAAGGAGCATGCGTTTGGAAGTCATGTGTGTGTGTTGGGGTGGTGGTGGCATTACTGACTTGCCTGCAGGTATCAGACTTACAACCTTCTGCTAAGGCCTCCCACCCCCAGCTTGTGTTGGCTCATGTGGCATGGGAGTGACAGGGTTTACGATCACACTGCCCCAGAGCAAGACACAGGAACATCTTAGGCATTCAGTGCGACCGTGTCAGCAGCTGACCTCACCCACGGGAGACAGTCACAGCCTCTAGCGGTCACTGCCTTTCTGGGAGCTCACTGTCAACATCACAGCCCAGTCCTGCAGTAGAGCTTGCTCTTCCCTGCCTTGAAGAGTCAGGCAGGGTCTGCCCTGCTTTAAGGATTTTCAAGGAACACCTGTCTCCCGGACTAGGGATCTGGAGGGGGCAAGAGAAGACAAACTGACCTCAGAAATGGGGGCCAAGACCAGCTCCACTGTTTGTTGTTATAAAGTTTTATTGGAAACATCTGTGCTTGATGTTGTAAATAAAGTTTTATTGGAAAAAAGCCATGTACAAGCAGTCACATACTGTCTCTGGATGTTCAAACACTGCATGGAGGTTGAGAAGTGGTCACAGAGGCTGAGTGCCTGGCAAAAAACAATCGTTTCCTGTCTGGCCCTGAGTTTGCCACCCACTGTAAAAGGCCCCTGTGGGAGCTGTCCTTCCTGAAGAGCAGGTACTGGTGGGACAGCCCCTCCTCCTGACCCTCCTCTCTGTCACATGGGGACCACCTCTGTGGGGAGCTTAGCAGGGGGTCTCTCTGAATGCCCCAGCACAGGAAGGCAGCCCCACATCCATCTGCTTCATCAACGCTCCTCTCCCTTCTTAGCCCTGGGTTGAGAGGGACCGTAGAGTATGGCCTCCATAGCCTCTATGGCTGCATGATTATTGCTATGCAGGGGCATTCAAGGGGACATGGGTGGCTAATACCCAGTACTCCTACTGCCCAGGCTGGGTTCCCTTTGCCTGGATTAAAGGGCATCCTCTCTTCGTTCTCATGAAGATGCCTGTGAACCATGTGACTAGGCCAGTGGCCCACCAGAACTTGACTGTGACTCCCCCCCAGCCCTAACCTCAAAAGAGAGATACACATGTGGTCTCCTAGCATCAGTCTTCACACCTATAAAATGGAAAGCAGGAGCCCTGTTCCAGGCTGAATGAAAGCTCAGCACGATGCCCCCATCTGATCCCTCCAACAACTGTGGAGGTTCAGGGGATGGGTTTCTGGGGCAAGAGAGCTCAGTCACTGGCCCCTGGCAGCCTGTGCAGAATTCCTGGCCTCTGTCTCCCTGCTGGCCCCTGCTGGTCCCCAGGATGGGGAGGGCTGGGGTGACGGCGCCCATGTGACAGCGGGAAGGAGGCCAAGGGAGTCATGCGGAGAGGATTACAGTGATTGCACGCCCATCCCTTCCAGATGCGCGAAGCTGGGGAGGGACTGTGGGCCCTGAGCCAGTGTTTACATGATCGGTTTGCATCCCTGCAGCCAAGTGAAGCAAGCCAGAGGAGGCCAAGCTAATCCCTCTGGCTCTCAGTGCTGTGCCCCCAGTGAGACCATCTTCTACCATAATAAACCACGCTGGGACAGTCACCCCCTGCACACACTTGCCTCAGCTGGCGTGGCCCTCCCCACGTCCTGGGCCAGTGCCCCTCCCATCTGTGGGGTTTCTGTGATGAGCAGCTCCAAGATGACCAGCTCACCCCCGTGTCCAGAACTTTCCTGACTTACATTGAAAGCCCCATGCCCAGGGAAGCTCCTTGGCCTCCAGAAAGTTGCACCGTCAGCGGGGCACAGCCCACCCCAGAGTGAGCACCTCTGTTCCCTGCCTGACACTCTTGTTTCTTAGGGTCCTGCCCTGCTGCAGGGTCCTCACATGGACCCCAATCTTGGGACCTGCTTGCTTCTGGTTTGTCACACCCAGTACTGCTCAAGGCCCTGACTACCCTGCTTTGTTGGGGTTCCTGCTGCTGTGTCCCCTCTATTCTGCACCCCATCCTCCTCTCCCTGTATCCTTGTCTGTCCCTCCTCCCTTCCCCATCAGCTCCAGGAGGTCTGGGCCCTGGTGCTATACTCTGGGCCTTGAATCTGTAGCACCTTCCACTTGGTCTGACGTACAGCTGCCACCCAGAAGTGTGGGAGAAAAGGGAAGGGAGGGAGGACAGGAGGGAAGCCCTGAAGCTACTCGTGTCCCTCTACTTGGGCAGAGGACTTGCTGTGCTGCTCGAGTCTAGCTGGAGCATGGAGGCACCAAAGGGGTCCCCAACAGCTGAAGGGTACCCAGGGGAGTTTCCCAGTGCTCTCTGGAGAGCAGATATTTCCCAGGTTCTTCTGCTGGACACAACCTGTGCTAGAAACTGCTAAGACCACTCGGATTCTGACTGCACGAGATAAACCAGAGAGCACGCACTGGAGTTGTGCCCCGAGGGTGAGCTGCTGCCCCTGCCACCGCAGCCCAAGGTGCCAAGGCCCATCCTTCCCCTTCCCTGGCTGTACAAGCACATTTGTCCTGTGTCCATGGCAATGACCATGGCCTCTTCCTCTTCCCATTCCCACTTGGGATATGAAGACTGTGTGTCCACGGGTGGGAGTGTGGAGATGGAGCCCTCTCAGGGCCTCTGGGCAGGGCTGCTAGGCTCAAACACTGGACAGATGTGGACAGGGGCCTTGTCATCACGCCGGACCACAGGCAGCTCAGGCGCAGCAGCCACCTCCCAACTCGCTAAATCGAGTCTCTCCTCCTTTACGCCATGGATGTTGGGTACTGTGTCCTGGTGATGGAAAAGCTAAGGTAAATAGAGATGGATTCTATTAACAAAGCAGGCATCTGCACAGGGTGTTTCCGAGATTCCCAGGTGTCTGGCTGCATCCGGTCTTGGGACAAACAAGTCTCCCAGAAGGGGCTGCCGAGGCCCAGCAGGGCACTGGTGTGACAGGGTCAGAGACCTAGAAAAGCCGCTCAGGCCATGGTGGAGGAGGAGATGGGAGGGGAAAACTGGACAGACAAGATTCCAAGAGGACAGAGACCTGTGGGGCCTGAGGGCTGCAGAGTCTGTTCCTGGGTTCAAGTCCAGGCTGGATACTAACTGGTAGTCTTAAGCCCCTTTCTTGGGCTGCCAAGGGCAGGTGTGCCAGGTCCTTCTGTGTCCCCCAGTGCTGAGGACCTGCCTGGCTCCTGGTGGCCCTTGGGAACACTGGTGTTGTTTTGGGCTGGGGCCTGGCAGCAGGAAAGAGAGGCCCAGTCCCAGTTCCGGAGCGTGTATGGATCCCACTCTGCCTCTTGCATCCCGATGGACCCAGACCAGTTGTCTGCACCACCCCGTGGTTAATTTCTGCCTGTGACGTGAGAAGAATACCTATCCCTCGGGCTGTCATGCAAACCAAACTTGATTCTGCCGGCCAAGGCTTTGCTGGCAGTGGATGCCTGGTTCTGGCTTGTGTCTTCTTCCCTGACCGGATGCAGAGGTGGAAGAAGCGGATAAGACTCACAAGCTCCAGCCCACATTTCCTAACCCTTTAGTTTTCTCCCAGAACCTGGTGTCAGCCTCGGGAACCCTCGGTGTCAACCACTCTGAATAAACATCTGCCCCTGTTCTGGTCCTGGTGGGTGCTGAGGCAAGGCAAGAGACATTCATTTGAAAGCTCAGGCCTCAGAAGTGGATCTAATTGCAAGATATCTGAAAACTTTTTCCAGCTTGGACCCAGTTGTTCCCACAGCGTGCAGGGCTTCTCACCTCCCAACACTTCTGCTTGGGCTTCCGTTGAATAAATTTTAGAGAGCACCTGCCTGGTACAGACCCGGAGCTCAGCACTGACGGAACAAGAGCGCCCTCTCTCGGTTGCTTTTTCAAAGTGCACTTCCTGACGCCTGCGGTGTGCCTTGCACAGGGTACTAAGCCTGAGGCACCGGGCACCATGCCTGGTTCCTGCCCTGCAGACTACAGCGCCAGGTTCAGACAGCAAGCAGGGAAAATGACCCCGTCTATCACTCCCTCTCCAGAGCCTTCTTTTACACTGAGTGTGCATGATGTTTTCATAGGTACAAAGAAACCACAAGCAATCGTGGAGGGACCCAGGCATCCCAGGTAGGTACCTAGAAAATTAGAAGGAAGCAGATCTTGTGTAAAATCTCTGAACCTCAGACCATACATGCGACACCCAAACGCTAATGTATCCATGCAGTCAGGTTGCTTGAGTGCCAGCTCTGTGCTAAGCAGGGTAGTGGAGCTTCATGCATAAGATGTAATATGGTTTCTCACCACTTCCGTGGTGCAGAGGCTGCAGGATGGCGAATCCGCGGGGACACCATGGCAGTAGTTCCTGATGTGATCACCAAGGAGCAGCTGGAAGCCATTTGCAGAAAACAGCCGTTTTCCCCCAAAGAACCGCTGTTACGACTTCATGAACAATTCAAGGACGCAGTCTCCAGGCAGGGGCATCAGTGTGTTCCGAGGTCCCCTTTCCTGTGCTCCCGAGTCTGTTTGTGTCTTCAGCTGTGGACTAATCAGCCTGGAGTCAACTTAGCCTCCATCTCTGGAACTGTCAGGGTGGCTTCTGGCTTGAATCATGCAGAAAGGGAAACTCACTTTTCCACGAGCTGAATGGCACCCTCGAAACCTATGAGAACCAAATGACTGTGGAGTAAGTACCATGAATAATCTGCTGTCCAAGACTTTAAAGACAGGAGGGGTACGGGGTCATCGGCCTGGTCAGAGACCGTCAGTGGTCACAGAGGTGGCTCCACTGTGACCTGTCATGAGCCCTGCAAGGGCAGCTGCTGACAAGCTGAGACCACAAGCTGACATGTTGGCCACAGTGACTCTGGTGCCCCATGTCACCTCCTGCTGCTCCCAGAAAAATTGCCAGGTGGATCGTGAGGTCGTGACATCTGGAGAGGGAGAAGAGAGGGAATTCGGGGAACAGGGAGGAGAAAGCCTTGGAGGACTGGAGCACAGGGACGGGCCGGGGTCTCCGCCATGAGGTCAGTAAAGAAGCTGTGGGCTTCTAGAGTGAGACTCTCCACGCCTGCGTGCCCATCTTTCTAGCCAGCACAATTAAGACAACGAGAATAGAGGCTTGGTGACAGCAGTGTGTGAATGCCACAGCTGTTCTCCCGTTAAGGGACTGTGTTTATTCTGCCTTGTCTCTCAATGCTCACGAGGTGCTGAAAGAGGCTGGTTTTGGGATGTGCACTGGGAACTATGTGCAGGGCCAGCACTGGTGAGGCTGAGTGAGGAGCCACCTCCACCCCACAGACTTAAGGGGCACCTTTTGGTAGTAATCAGATTGTAGAAAATGCACACTCTTTTCTTTTTTCTTTGGTACCGGGGATTGAACTCATGACCGCATGCTTGTAAGGCACGACTTATCCACTGAGCTAAATCCCAGGCCCCTGCACATGCTTTTCAATGCAATGCCTTTAAAATCCAAATAAATGCGCCAAATGACAAAACAGTAACACTTTAGACGATGCATATAAACATTTAGCACCTTGCCTGGGATGCAGTAAACTCACGTGTCATCCTGTAGCAGCATGGAGCTGGTAACCGGAAGCACCCCACACAGGGTCCTGCTCTGCCCAGAACTCGGGGTGCCCAAGGGAGTTTGCTGCTAGGAAATTCAAAAAAGGGAGCATTTGTTGATGAGAGAGACATTTCCTTTATCTTGTCTTTTTGACTCAGGTTCTGGACCAGCTCTGCCTTAGAGCAGGTGTGGACTCCCTGTCTGCTCAAAGAGAGAATAGCAGGCACGGGAAAGCGGTTCACAGCCACAGCTCAGCTAAAGCCACAGCCAGGAGAAAGCAGTCCCCAGGGCCTCTGGCTTCTCCTCCTCTCCACAGCGGCCTCTTGTTCTGCCTGAGCATAGCCTGAGCTGTTTATTAGGATTACTAGTGTTAATTACAGAACGTTGAAAATAAATACCCCTTCCCCAAAATGTGAGGTGTCAGAAGCGTTCCAGATTTTAGAGTTTTTTTCACTTTGGAATATTTGCATATACAAAATGCTGTGTGTGGGGAGGAGATGCAAGCCAACCCATAAAAGTCATTTATGTTTGAAATACACCTTACACGTATTACCCGTGATGATTCACACAATGTTTTTAGTCATGCGAGGTCAGGTGTGGAATTTTCTGCTTGTGGCTGGCACCATCTCAGCCTTCAGAAATGTTCCAGACTTTAGAGCATTTTGGACTTTAATTTTGGGTTTTAAGGTTAGAAATGCTCCGCTGGACACACAAAAGTAAAGGGTAGCACAGTGGCACGACCATCCTGTGTGTCTATCACAATGATCAATAATCAGCAATGCTGTTGGCTGACCTCGTTCTGCTCACCCCATCTCTTCCCTTTTTACTTTCCCCCGAGTGTTCTGAAGCCATCTGCAGATATTTTATTCTGTTCCTAAATACTTCGGTTTGTGTCTCCAATAGATAAGCCCCAGCCCCAATACAGAAAACATAAAAATAAAAATAAAGCACTGTAAGATCATTTTCATGTGCGGTGAGACTAAAAAGACTTCCTTAGTCCAGAGTTCAAATTTCCCCAACTGTGTCAACGGTGCAGCCTGCCACTTCTGACATTCACAATCAGCCTGGCGTTCTACCCTGAAAGTCACTCATTAACCTTTGCTCTGGTGACTCAGCACCCAACTGTGCTTGCGGAGGTGTTCAGGACAGGCTGAGAAGTTAGTTCCTGCTGACGCCTAGGAGCCAGCCCTGCTCCGGCTGCGTCCATATGGCCCCCACCTCTTCTGCTCTCCCTGTGCCTTGTGCCCTGACTACACTCTGGACATGGGCTTCATCTGGGTTTCACAGTGGCTTCCTAGTAGTCAAGCCAGTGCTCTAAACTAGAGATGATGCACCATAAAGATGTGTGTTTCTGCCTTTCTTTGAAATTATGAAAATCCAGCAGCACTAGGTCAACGGCACCCCCTGGTGTCTACAAGTGAGGGACACAGTGGTCCTTCTTGGGTCTCCACAGCCACTGGCACAGGTCCCGAGAGCTGAGGCTGAGCACCAATGGCCTACTGAGCTCTTGCAGTTGGTTTTCTGTGGTAGGGGGAGTTCTGTGGGCTCTGACCACCACAAAGAGTCTAACCCAGACGTTACTCTGAAAGGGCAGCTTGGTACAAAACGTTTCACTGCTTTGTCATTGTAACAAGTGAGAATGGTGGTGAGATGCAAGTGTACCCAAAAAGAATGGGGTTTGAGTTGTTGTCTCCTGACCGAGGCCCGTTAACCTCCCTGACGCGGTAGCTGTGGCAGCAGAAGCACCCCCCTCTGCTCTTGCAGCAGAGTCCCCTTTCCCTGACTGCAGATTCCCTGGGTCTTCCCCGGCTCATGTTGCAGTCCTGACTCCCCAAACCTCTGAGTGAGACTGCTGGGAGACAGGGCCTTTTACAAAGGTGATTAAGTTAATACACAGCCTTTAGGATGGGCTCTAACCCAGTCTGACCTTACAAGAGAAGGTTGTAGAGCCCACAGAGACCTCAGGGCTGTGTGCACAGTGTCAAACGTAGAAACAGGGAAGGCCAAGGAGAGAGAGGCCTTGGGAAGCTAAGCACGCTGGCACCTTGAACTCAGACTTCTCTAGGCTCTAGAACCCTGAGACGACAAATGTCTCTGTAAACCACCCTGTCTGTGCCACAGCAAACTGATACACATTTCTGGCCTGGAATCCCCACACCAAGTCTTCAGCCTGTGCTTCTACCCTAACCCCTAGACCTGAATATTTAACAACCCACATCCTAGCTGCAAGCAAAACTCTCAAGCCTGAGCAGAGCTTCGGAGCCATGGTGGTGGGAGGAGACTGGGGATTGGACTGTAAAGGGATGCAAGTCAGCCCAGGGTGCCTGGGGGATTCTAAAGTGCTGTGTGGAGGTCTGTAAAGACCATCAGAGATTTTCAAGTGCCATTTCAGGAAGCTAAATCATGCGACTGTTACCTTTCCTTATTAGGAGCGACCAAGCTGCCTTCAGAATGTTCTGTTTTTGGATTTTAATACTCAGTCCTGACAACCAAGTGGAGCTGATCACAATAAACATTTGTGGCATTCAGAGCCTGGAGTCGTTCCACGGCAGTGCAGAAGGGCAGCATGGAGTGAATGCATGATGCTCCAGGCTGCGCAAACATCACTTAGTGTGCAGACTGCCTCGGTGGAAGAGGCCAGGTTGGGGCTCAGGACAGGGTCGGGATGTGGTACACAATTCATAGAGCAGGCCGGGAAAAACCAGCTGAATTTCCTGTGCTTATGGCCAAGACATCATTAGAAGAACACAGTGAACTCAGCCCACAGGACCACGCAGAGGAACAGAAAAGCTGCTACACAGACAGACAGAGTGAGCAAAATAAATGCAAAAAAAGAAAAAAGAAAAGAAACTTCAAATGTGCTTTGAGTTTGGGGATGAAATCTCAGAACTGTGTAAAAAAATTAATACCAAACAAGAGTCCACACATGACATAACAATAACTTTTGCTCTGGATTTTTAAAAACTTTATGAAACACTGTATCTAATAAAACAATGAAATAAATATGTTCAGGATGCCCAGAGAGTCAAAAAAACAAAGGCGTTTTCTAAGAGAAAATGCCAGGGATTTAGCTCAGTGGCATAAGTGTCTGCCTGGCAAGTGTGAGGTTGTGAGTTTGATCCCCAGCCCCACAACCAAGAGAGAATGCAACAGAAATAGGCAGAAATTAAACAAGATGGGTATGAGAAGGGAAAACAAAATCTTAGAGTCCGCTATACAGAGCCAACCTTATATTCTCAAGAAATGCAGTAAAGTTTGTGGGGAAAAAAAAGTTTACTAAACTTTCAATAGAAATTTTTACACAATGAATGACATATGAAAAAATAAAGTTGGCTTTGACTCTGAGTGGTGGTCCTGAAGAAAGGTTGCTGGGAAGTGTGCAATACAATGATGCACGGAGGGAGCCAGGAAGCTGTTCATAAGTTTGATTTGGATTCATGAATTTCAGACTGAGGAATTTATTCCACAGCGGTAGCCAGACAAAAATCAGACTACAGGCACAAACATATTCATGGCTCCCCACGATGGCTAATTCCTAAAAACAAATCGAAAACAGAATGTTTATTATGAAAATAATCCAGTCAAATACAGCACAGCCAGCAAATGCAAGAATATAAACAATTACAACAGCACAAAAGCACTTCTAAGGATTAATGACAAAAAGATTCATGTTGAAAATGGATTTTGCTTTCTGGCCACAGTGAAGTCACTATGCCCACCTCATCTGCCCACCCTAAATAACTGTCAACGAGACAAAACACAAGAGGCGGCTACTTTCTAGTACTGGGTGAGGCGCAGGGCGAGAGGGCCAGCTCCGAAAGAAGGGAAACTCACAGGGTGTGCCTCATTATACCCCTGACCCTCCGTGAGGACAGTTTCCCGGCTGTGACGCCACAAGCTGGAGTCTGAACAGACCTTGTAATTCCCCTCCTCTGAGGAAGCAAAGGCCAGATCAGAGGGAAGCGGAAATGATCTCATTCATGAGCCAGCACATCAGAGAGGAGGGAGCCAGGTACAGGGGTGGGCGGGCACAGATTGGGGTCCTCACAAGTCCTTAGGACATTTCCAGGTCGTGACTGAGGGCAGAATAAGTT